ATAGATGAATTGATCGATTGTGTGTTGTTCAATCGGCCGTCACCCCTTAGGTATATAAGAGGCGGCTGGACTTCCCGTGCAAGGAAAAGGCTTGGATTCACGTCCAAAACCCTAGTCAAATTCAGATTGGTTTTGTCCGAACTTTCCAAAACCGTTCGGTTTAAACTGGCTGCATCTTGCGGGTCTTTTTTGTGGTGGTAAACGATCTCGGATGGAAACGAGCCCAAAAGCAATCTTGACCGTTTCGACAATATGAACAACTTTTATGTTGAACGTTTTTTGATCAGAGGTCACCTTGAGGGACAAATCGGTCGCGCAAAATAGGCTATCCCTCGCGCTACCCATCAGACAGGGTGTCTGGTGGGGCGCGCCAGTTTTTGCCTCCTGACAGGGCTGTATTCCGATGGCTCTAACTTTTGCATACGAACTCGGATTGGAACGTTTTTTATATCAAAATCGATCGTTTCGACGAGACGAAGACAATCCTTGTATATAAGTTTTCCATTTGAGGCGGTCTTGGGGGCTTAATCTGCCAAACTCGACTCTGAATATAAGATCTTAGTACTTTGAGCATAGTTTCGGCCTTCGAGATGAAATCAGACTGCGATGACCCAAACTTCAAAGATGTTCATATCAATAATACGGAACTCTTTCATGAAGATCACTTCTCCATTTGAGGCCATCTTAAATAAGTTATTGACCGTGCCAAAATCTGGTGTCAACACTAGGTTTCATACTTTCACCAGTGCAAGTTCTCTCAACAGTAATAACATAACTGGATCATATACCTATCCCTCAACATGCAACAAAGAGTCACTCCAAAGTCACTAATAGCGGATAACAAATGAAGAGATTGTTGTAGGGTATGAAACCACTACAAAGTTATCCTTTTTGATTGATCTATTCAAGAGTCTGTACTAAAATGACACGAAGCTATTCTTTCTGTTCGATCTATCATAGAGTTCATACTAGAATAACACCTTAAGACACAAATCAACCAAAACCCTAATTTCACCTAGATACTCCAATGTCACCTCAAGTATCCGTGGGTAATGATTATACGATATGCATCACACAATCTCAGATTCATTTATTTAACCAACACAAAGTACTTCAAAGAGTGCCCCAAAGTGGCTACCGGAGAGTCAAGACGAAAACGTGTGCCAACGCCTATGCATAAGTTCATTGAACCCGCAAGTTGATCACCAAAACATACATGAAGTAGATCACGTGAATATCCCATTGTCACCATAGATAGGCACGGCAAGACATACATCAAGTGTTCTCAAATCCTTAAAGACTCAATCCGACAAGACAACTTCAAAGGGAAAACTCAATTCATCACAAGAGAGTAGAGGGGGAGAAACATCATAAGATCCAACTATAATAGCAAAGCTCGCGGTACATCAAAATCGTGCCAAATCAAGAACACGAGAGAGAGAGAGAGATCAAACACATAGCTACTGGTACATACCCTCAGCCCCGAGGGTGAACTACTCCCTCCTCGTCATGGAGAGCGCCGGGATGATGAAGATGGCCACTGGTGAGGGATCCCCCTCCGGCAGGGTGCCGAAACAGGGTCCCGATTGGTTTTTGGTGGCTACAGAGGCTTGCGGCAAGATGGCCACCGGTGAGGGATCCCCCCTCCGGCAGGGTGCTGGAACAAGGTCCCGATTGGTTTTTGGTGGCTACAGAGGCTTGCGACGGCAGAACTCCTGATCTATTGTGCTCCTCAATGTTTTTAGGGTATATTGATATATATAGGTGAAAGAAGTCGGTCAAGGGAGCCACGAGGGGCCCACGAGGGTGGGGGGCGTGCCCAGGGGTGTAGGGCGCGCCTCCCTGCCTCGTGGCCACCTCGAAGCTTCCCTGACGTCTACTCCAAGTCTCCTAGATTGCTTCCGTTCCAAAAATAACTCTCCCGAAGGTTTCATTCCGTTTGGACTCTGTTTAATATTCCTTTTCTTCGAAACACTGAAATAGGCAAGAAAATAGCAATTTGGGCTGGGCCTCCGGTTAATAGGTTAGTCCCAAAAATGATATAAAAGTGTTTAGTAAAGCACATAAACATCCAAAACGGGTAATATAATAGCATGGAACAATAAAAAATTATAGGTACGTTGAAGACGAATCAAATATACACCTATAGAACTATCCACATGACCTTGTGACAATTTCAAGAAAGCATTCCCATTAATACTATTGGTGCTATTATTGTTGTTGTCAAACATGAAAATGGAGAAGGGGAAAATGCAGGATGGGCAAAGTGAAAGTATAATACAAGACACCTTCATGATAAAGAGGTCGCAGCTGCCCATCCGTACAACGAAGAAAAAGGGCTGACAATAAGACAATTTTCTATACATTTATATGGCCAATAAATTAAAAAAACACATGTACATACGTGAATAAGAAAGCAGTAGAATAATTGGATATTTCTAGAAATAGGATCAAGATTTACAACAGTTATAATGGAAATGGAGATGCAGGATCATAATGTCAAACTCTGGTACAACCAACCAGGGATGTAAAAGGCAAATAAGCAGAGTCCGTAAGTACCGTTTAGTTAGCTTTATTTAGCTTCATAGTTCATTTTCTTAATAAATAAATAATTTTTTGAACTACTAGATTATTAGCGGGTTTAAACGGGATTAAACGAGACCCGGTTGACATCCCTACAACCAACCGGCATGGGAGATAGAAGAACAGGTCCACTGTTCGGGCGCTTGCATGACGCTGGGAGGCTCTGCGCCGCATCACGCGTGAATATCGGACACCTCGCTGGATTTGTCGCGCCGGATCCCCCGTAGATGACGGGAAGGAGTAGGCATCACCGAAGTAGAAGGGTCGAACCTAGGCTCCCAGCGCACGCATTGACCTGACTCGATCCCACACCTCTAGTGGATCCAATCGAGGGACCTCTCCTCTCTGCTCCTTGCATCAGGACTGGATGGAATGGACGCGGTCGCTCCTCTAGGTCCCTTTAGCGAAGCCCAGCAATGGACCTCCTTCAGTGAAGCGGTGTAATGGGTTGGCCGACGGCCCAGTGAACCAGATACCTTCGTTTTGGTCTCTAGAGCAGCATCCCATAGGACAAACAGGCCAGTGCTGATACATGTGGGGCATATGGCTAGATCTGATGGTCAAAAGCATCCAAATAACGAAAATAGACGGTCAAAAACGCAAATCGCTGAGAGGGTTCACTTTAGGCTCAGCTTTACTGTCCTAAATGGGCTCTCCGAATCATATTTTGGAGATGGAGAAGGTCTTTAGTTGGAACAATAGTGTCTAATCTCTTCAAAAAATGGCAACCTTTTGTTGATGCTCTAAGTGCTTTGGGCCATGCTCATCATGCAGAACAACAACTATGGTTATTTTTTGTACTTAATAGTAGCTTTTGCATGGAAGAATTTTGTGTTTTCATCTCCCTTGTTGGCCCATCTGAGAGTGGCTCTCAGCTTCCATTATATCTTATCAAGGTTGGCAAGTTTGATTAAGCACTCTTTCAAAATAATCCTCCAATTCCATTCTTCGCTTGATAAATATATATATGTTCCTTTGGAGTATCATAGAATAGGATGACCAAACTAGATGCCTCAGTAGTTCGGATTGGATAGATACATTGCCATAGTTGAAGTCCTTTCCTTAGTCTCTTGAATTTAGCAGTTAGCTAGTGCTTCCATGATTTTTCCAGAGTCGATAATAGAACATTTGTGCTTCTAACTTTTCAGAGAAAAGTGTATTTTTTGCCCCCAACGACTCATCAACTTTATAAAGTTGATAATTTTGATCTCACCCTAGACTCAAAGTGGTTTTGTGTATAATGTGTCAGTGGTTTTGCGCATGTGGCAGCACATGCTTTTTCAGCAATAAATGCAAGGGAAGAAATAAAACAATCAAGATGAATAAGAAGAAAAAGAACACATAAAGTCAAAAATGCAAATGCATACTATTGCATTTTTTTAGTACAAATAAGGTAAAGGAAGTTTAGGAACATTTATGAAGAGCATATATTATTCATGATAATTTCCTAGATTTATTGTTTCTTGAATTTCATGATATTTCAAACATTTCCATAATTTTCCAAACTTATCTAGAATATTATCTTTATGTAAATCCTTTTTTTATTTTCATGTGTTATCGGTTTTATGTATATTTCTATCCTCTCTTTTTAGTGTGTTGCCAAACGTACAAAAGCACAACCATCTCATCCATCAAACCGTTTCAAAGGGAACAAAATTGTCTCATCCATTAAAATAATGTCTTTTTTAATATTTCTACTAATTACGGACATAGGTTTTTCCGCGAGGATGAAAACCCCGGCGAGGACGTGATGGGCATAAAGAGTCTGTCACGGGAACGGTGATGTGAGTCTGATACCTACCTGAATGATCAATGTGAGTCTGATACCTAGCTGAATAATCTCCATTGCCAGCTTGACTCTCAACGGTTGGGATTTATTTGCGTGTTAGGGCATCTTGGCCAAAGCAAAAGCCAAACGGCGTAAAAAATAACGGACTTCCCAAGCCGCAGCTTTCCTCTCTTCTCTCCCCCCTCCAAAACCCAGCACGAAGAACCGAAATGAAACTACGCGGCCAGCAGCAACAGAGGAGGGCGGAGCCGGAGGCGATGGAGAGCACCGCCCGCGTCTTCCCGCCCCTTAAAAGGCCAGCCACGAACCGCCAAGCCGCCTATCGTCTCAACCTCGAGCAACGCTTCGGCGCCGCTGCAACCGTCGCCGAGGGCTTCCAAGCAGACGACGCGGCCGCCGGTCAGGGAGAACCCGCGACCGGAAGAGGATGGAGGTCAGCGACGAAGAGAGCGTGACCGGCCCCGCCCGCACGCCGGACACGGACTCGGAGCCGGAGCAGCCGGACCCCGCCGCGGCCCCAGCGGCTATCGCGCCGTACCCCGGGGACATCGACGACGAGACCGAGGCCGACCTCGCCCGCCTGCTGGACTCCTCGGAGCAGCCTGACCCCGCCGCGCTCCGGGCGGGTATGGAGCCGTACCTCGGGGACATCGACCGATACATGCGGTCCCTGGAGGTGAGGGGCTTCTCGATTCCCCTTCTCGTCCGATCCCGCGTGTGGAGGTACAAGTTCGTTCTCCAAGTCGGCTTTGTTAGGGGTCGGGTTTACATGGTTTTGCGGTCGCATTAGTCGCATCTGGTAGTTAAGGCGAGGTCGCATTGGATAGAACTGAAGAATTTTGGGGCGTGATCACGTTGTGCGCATGAGTTTCTGGAATTTGGGGGATTGTATTGTGTTGTGGATACATCTCGATATACTGCAGTGAATTATTCAGTTTTTTTTTATGAATGTGGGATATATTATCTACTCCCTTCAATTCATATTACTTGTCGCTCAAATGGATGTATCAAGATGTATTTCAGTGCTAGATACATCCGTTTGAGCGACAAGTAATACGGATCGGAGGTAGTAGTTGTTTAGTTACTCGTGGTTAAGGCAATGGTGAAATTAGTGCACTGTGGCATTGGACAATAGTGGGTTTCCATCTCTGCCGAGCAACGAATTTTTGCTACTCTGTTAATAAACCAGAAGCAGGTTACATATTTATGGGATTACTACATGCAGAACCTAGTGGTATGCACAGCAAGACACCACTAAGTATGTTATATGTTAGCTTCACTTTTTTAGCCTGATTTCATATCAGAAGCTGTGGAGTTCTTCAGTGTGTATGCCATCTTAATTATCTGAAGATACAATCATTACTGTGCAGATAATGCGGTATGTTTTCGCTGTTTGGGTCGATGTAAATAGGCTCTTTCAGCGACTTTGTTGTCTACATTTTCTAGGCATCGAGGAGGCCGAGGGATGACTATATCTGGACAACACAGGAAGATATCAATCCCAAGATGAGGGCGGTCCTAGTTGACTGGCTGGTGGACGTGTCTTGTACATTCAGGCTTCCTGCTGACACACTTCACCTTGCAGTTTCATATGTCGACCGCTTCCTCACAGCAAGTGTCATTAAATGGCGCGAGTTGCAATTACTTGGTGTGACCGCATTGCTTGTTGCTGCGTAGGGAACTAAACCATTGCTTATCTCTTTTTTTCTTTTCTCTTAGCGTGACTATCTGATTAGCATGAATGGATTGTTGCAGGAAATATGAAGATGACATATTTGTGCATGAGGTCCAAAGATACAGGGGCGTTACTGCCAACACGTACACCACGAAGCACGTTAGCCTTGCTTCTGCTTTACTTCCCATAGTAAATTTCCAGGGCTTGAATGGTGAAGAAATAGTTATGGTTTTTATGCACCGAAGGTTGTGAAGATGGAGACTGACATACTGAAATCTCTTAACTTTGAGATGGGGAGTCCTACTGCAAGAACTTTTCTACGGTATGTGCTTGAGCTGAAACTTTTTCATTTGGATGATAAAATCTCCTCAGTAGTAAAACAGTTACGATGAAAGTTCAGATATATAAGTAGTATTATGACTACTGCCATATTGTGTTCAAATACATTCCTAAGCCTAACGTTCGGTACATGTCTGTTCTGCCAAACAAAATACTCTGAAATGAGATAAATCCCAGATCTGGCTAGTGAAAAGCTTATCAGAATTCATGTCTGCCTATGTCTAGCATAGCACATGGGCAGCGTCTGAGAATATAAAAAATTTCCACGACATCTAGTGAGGTATGCCGAACACAATTTCGATGGCCAAGCCATCTCACGACCACATTGTGTTCAGCATGTACAATAGTTACCATATTTAATTCGCATAACATATATCTCGTCTTATGATTATTGCCACACTGGACTCAAAAGATCCTAACCCTGATGTTCAATGCATGTCTGTTGTACGAGATACATAACTGTTTGCCGCGGACGCGATGTAAGTATCCGTTGCAGCATCTGATATTGTATTCACTTAATGTTCTTTATTATAATGTCTGCCCCCTCTTCAAACCTTAGCGCGCAAAAGCAAAGAAGCTGGAGTTTCTGTGTAGCTACCTTGCAGAATTGAGCTTGCTGGACTATGACTGCATACAGTTCAATCCATCAGTTGTTGCTGCTGCCTGCCTTTTTTTGGCCAGGTTCACAATCAGCCCAACTGCCCGTCCTTGGGTAAGAAGACATGACTACTCCTTTGTTGAATCTACATTATGCTTTATAATTTTCTGATATTAGCTTGTGTTTATTCTGCAGAACCTGACGCTGCAAAGGAACACGAAATACAAGGTCTCTGATCTCAAGTCTTGCATCTTGATGATACACAAATTGCAGTTGAATGGATATCCGGGCCTGAAAGAAGACGCCATCAAAGTCAAGTATAATGATCGCGAGGTAAGATACGCTTTCCCCAGTTTTTTGGCTGTCACATGCGAACTTTTTTGTTTGAATTTATTTGTTCGATCATTGTACAGCTTGAGCATGTGTCGGCAATGGATCCACCTGAAAATATCCCTCTGCGTTTCCTCAAGGACATCGGACAGTGAAAGGCCAAAGTGCTCTTGCAACATCTTTTGCAGGCTTTGCAGAAACTACAAATAGGATTCTTTTGTTAGTAGATAGACTACAGGCTCTGTTCAGGCATTAGGGATTTGGGGCATCATCTGTCGGCTTCCTGCATCCATGCCTGCCGGGCCTAAGCAGAATCAGTTCCATCCATGCCTGCCGGGCTTTAGCAGAATCAGTTCCAGTTCCAGTTGCGTTGATAGCAGTGCGGCTACCTTCATTGATATGTTGACATGATATGCAACTGGAGCATTTTTGTACATATGATAGAATACGATGGTGCCATACTCGGTGATATTCCATATGAAGTTTCAGGGCAAATCCTAACGTGTTACAATATTTCATTACTACCATTTTATGCAGAATATATTGCCTCTGACCAGTGCACTGATTGCTGACGAACTTATTTCCCAAAGTGAAATGGATACTGCAACTATTGCACATGTCATCAGCAAAATAGTTTATGTACTCCCTCCAATCCATAGTACTTGTTGCTGCTTTAGTACAACTTCAGTAAGCATTTATTGCTGACAAACTTAATTCCCAAAGTGAAACGGAGTGCGTAAATTGACTGATTAACAACACACCTAACAGCAACATATCAAAGCTGATAATCAGAAAGAAAAATGATTGGGGTCTCAAAGAACAGCAATTGCTCACAACTGATCCAGCTAACAAAATGTCAGTTCTCAATAGAAATGTTGTAATCTGTTTGTACAATCTCTACACCAGTGAACTTGATACCAGAATGCTAAAGAAAATTACACCATATCACATCACATGACTTGTACAGACTAACGACCCCAATCTAATGCAAGCATACATAAGGGGGGTGAAGAAGAAAAGGAAAGAAAATTACATGTTTGGTTTGAAGACCTTATTCGGGATTAAATAAAGATATGTGTTGTGCAAGGAATATTATAGGATGATCTCATCTTGCACACTGGCATTGAGAGTTTTATTTGGGAGCACGATACTGTTAGTTACAACTACTTCATCTTCAACATCAACGGCTTCACCTGCATTTAGCTAGCACGTCAAATCGAGCATAGGAACTATCCCTACGTAAAGCATATTATCACAAGATTTTCATGGGAAGGTAACAAGATATCATCTAGGTAGGGTCTTACCAAGAATGGTGATACCAAGTTTGGCATTGTGGTCACCTTCACCCTGTATTCAGAAAGTAATTTTGTTACATGACGCACCCAGAAAAGACTGGATTAGCAGTATACGTAATTGTATCTTCGTCTCAAAGACAGTTTCAGCGAGACGTACTGTCACACCAAAAGTAACTTTTTTCAGCAAAACCATACGTAGTAATTTTGCACACGGAACCACAAAATGTAATGTTTAAAACAGTACAGTAGATATGTTCAGTGCAGAGAAGCATAAACATTGATAAAATCTACATACTTCTCAAACTGGGCTAGAACAGAAACATCAGAATATGAAAGGTTCCAAGCTTTCTATGATGAAAGAGGTGAAAATGAGTAATTTTTAATAGGATAAGGTAACATGTATAGAAAATCTTGCCTGTACACGTGACCATTTCCCTACTGTTGACTTCCACCCTACTATTGAATGTATGACAACTGCATTCTCCTGCAACCAAAGGAATTATCTGAGACGCAGGTACCTAAATGTGGGTTATCATTTGGTAAAGAGAGGAAGACTAACCATAATTTCGACATCATCCAGAATGATGCAACTGATAAGCCTGGCACCTGCTCCAATGCGTGCATTTGCTGATATCGAAACATTGGGACCAATCTGCGTGTGGATAGCGTATAAAAAGATAAAACCATCACTATTATAAATAGAATGTCAAGGATATCAGACACCATGGTATATCACGATCTACTAAATTTATGTTGAAGAACCAGATGTTACCTTTGCAGTTAGATGCACCTTCGCAGATGGATGGATGTACACGTCACCTACAATAGTGGCACCCTTTTTGCCATCTCCAGAGGCTAAAAGATGAGGAGAGGTATGGCGGAACTGGGAGAGATATAGGCCAGAGCATCTCAAAGACATCCTATGCATAGATGCAACACTGGTCAATCAACAACTTCAAGATTAGAAAGAGCGCCGTCAAGAACTATATTTACCCTGGGGTCTTGATCTGTTCCCAAAAATCAAGTGTCTGGTATGTGTAAAGTTCCTTCTTTCCTGCTAGAGGAGATAAGATATCTTGATCTAACCTAACATAATCTGCCGGAATTGCCCTGTTGACAATTAACACAAGATGTTCAGTATCATATAAATACATTGGGATCACCTTAATGGAAGCTCTATCATTTTTCTTTAGATTTCTTGGAAGAACTAACGAGAAGATAAAATAGCCGTATTGCTAGATACAGGACCTTATTCAGGCCAACAACGATAGAAGAAAATATGCTTTCTACAAAGCAGCAAGGACAATATGATGGCTACTCCTCCTACCCATTTCTTTTCTTATTCTGAATTGATACGATGGCCATGTAAGACATATTCTATGATTTTATATTTCCATGCACAATCCCCCCTGGAACCTAATGAAAGGATCATGAGTTCATGACGCCTTCAAGCAAACAAAGGGTCATCCCAGAAGACGACTTCAGAAAACATGGCAAACATCGGTTTTATTGTAATGATATGATGTGGTAGCAATCCATGTGCACTGAACTTACCTATCTTTAAAATATAAGGGGCAAAACATTGGAGGTAGAGCAAGACAAGGACATCAGTAGTATACTTATCAGTATCATGAAAGGGGGGGCAACCTGGTGCATGTAGCTCCCGCTTGCGCAGGGTCCAGGGAAGGGTCCGACCACTTTGGGTCTATAGTACGCAGCCTTTCCCTACATTTCTGTAAGAGGCTGTTTCCAGGACTTGAACCCATGACCTCATGGTCACAAGGCAGCAGCTTTACCACTGCGCCAAGGCTCCCCTTCTTATCAGTATCATGAAAGTGAATTCTTTTTTCAAGGATACATGAAAGTGAATTCTTGTTTCTGGACAATTAATCCATCTAATGAGACATTGATTTGCTAAAAGATCAGTGGTAAAATTAGTTGTTTTGTAAAAATTATGTTCCAAGACATTTGTATTACAAGTTAGAACATAGACATCTCGCAGTTCACCTTCAACTTCCTGGTGATGCATTAATTTGGTAGTACCACATCATATTATTTAAAATAGCACCGATGATTTCCATGATTAAAAGATAATCAAATACACATTAACTGAGAAATGACCCAAATAAATATGCAGGAAAATGAATAGAAGATACACACATACTTCGTTGCTGATTGAAGAGCTTCAAAGCTGGATACACGGCGCAAATTAGCTGAAATTTTAGCATTGAGAGTGATTAAAGTTTGTGCTGTAAATAGGAAGTACCAATAGGAGTACCAAAACAAGACTAATGAAGAAAATATTAACCGACTAGAACTAATATACTCTCTTAAATTTGTATGTCACCAAGCTGTCAGAATTTTAGTTCAACTGGAACAGTCAAACCTCTTTGACTAATGGTTTGAATGGCGACGCTAGCAAAAACAAAACATGCCGACTAGAACTAATATACTCTCTCAAATTTGTATGTCACCAAGCTGTCAGAATTTTGTTCAACTGGAACCTCTTTGACTAATGGTTTGAGTGGCGACACTAGCAAAAACAAAACATACCTCACGGGAGCATGGCCAAAATGAAATGAGGCAAAAATTAGTAGCGAGGTGAAGGAATGGGCAAAGAACCATGGACAATATGTGTAAACCATAGCAATTTAAAAGGCAAAAAAATGTAATATTACTGAGCATAATACCTCTGTCTTTCTTCTGTTTTAGGACATCCTCGATAGCAATTAATATCTTGGGTGTAAATATATAGACTCCGCAATTTATGAGATCACTCACCTACACATGTATAAAATGCATTAGAGCTAAGCTAACTACTCACTAAGAACGATTGGTTGTCCCAAAATAATTTGAAAACCAAATAATAAGACATGCACAATTCTCCAAATGGAAAATAGAACAGCAAGCCAAACAACAAATAATCAGCACTGTATACTCACAAAAGTCTCTGGTTTTTCCGTATAGTGTAACAGTTCATTTGTTTCAGGATCAGCTACTAGCTCGCCAAATTGGTTGGCTGACTCCGCAGATACCTGAGAAAGATTTTGGGATAATGTTATGACTTATGCATGAGAATACTATATGAACTCTGGTTGCCGCTATTATGGAAGTTACTAGTATGACATTCTCTCACCTTATTGACTAGCAAAGTGCCCATGCCTCCATACTTTTTATGGGCCTCTGCAACGAAGGGATGGTGATACATTTAGCGATGAGTGTCCAACAGAAAATTAACAAAGCAAACACTGTTAATACACAATGCAATCCCAACTTCAGCTACTTGGCAACCTACCGAGCATGTCTGGCAAGGGGAAGCTAGAACAGACGTCACAGTTCAGCAAAACAATGTGTGCCTGCAAAAAAAATATAAGGGAACTTTAGAGGGCAAAAGTTCCCTTATTCTGACCCAGAACAGCAAAGCAGATACCAGTAAAACCCAAGCAGTTGCATATCTCTCAGAGAATTTACAAAGGAATTCTGTTGGATTTTAAATCCATGGGAATTTTTCCGTTAGAGTCCATCTAATTCAAAGGAATGGACCCTCCAAATTCTATGGATTGGTTTTCTACTAGGGGATATATTATTCCATAGGATTCCTAGCAAGAGGTTAGACATTGAAATTTTGAGTCTATGAGACAACTATGGCATTGGCATCCATTCAGTCCCTATGCAAAATTCCGGTGTTTTTCCTGTGGCGCAACCAAATAACTTCTATAACCGATTTCTGTGTTTTCCATTCAATGTAGGATTCCAAATGTCATAACATCTTATTCCTACGTTTGACCTATTCTTGTGTTTTCGAATCCTGCAAACCACAGCGGCGCTAAACTCAATTATTCAGGCATCCCAGGTCGAAGGAACACACTAGAATCCACCCTAACAGATAGCGGCGAATGCCAAACAGCTAATTCAGTTCCACATTTCTTTAAATGAAGATGATAATGGGTCAAGAGCAGACCGGACTGTCCTCCATGATGTAGTCCCTGAAGCTGTAGAGCCCTCCAGCCGACCCGCGCGGCTTATCCTCCCTCAGATACCTAGAATTAAACAGCACCCCGTCAGTGGCAGTTCACCGCAGTCTGAATCCGACGCGGCTAAACTGGCAGGAAATGAAGTGAAAGTGTTGGGGAGGGCACGAAGCGAACCTGACAGGGATCCTGAGCTCGTTGGAGATGGAGGAGACGTAGAGCGCGAACTCCCGCTCCTCGTAGAAGCCGATGAGGTATATCTGCGCCAGGTTGGGGATCTGCAGCAGCGGGGTCGAAAAGGCCTCAATTCTCACACGAGGCGCACACGGGGAACCCACCAAGCAAATGCAGAGAGGAAGGGAGGGAGAGTGGGTCGTACGCGGCGGCACGCGGAGATGTGGTGGTGCACCATGGGCTGGCCGGCGAGCGGGAAGAGCGGCTTGGGCACGTTGAGCGACAGCGGCCGGAACCGCGTCCCTGCACACCCCAACCAACCACCGGACAGTTAGATACGCGCGGCGCGGAAGGGGGGTTCGCGCCGGCCGGGAGCGAGCGGGCGCAGATCTGCGGCGTACCTTTGGTGGGGCCGCCGACCATGATGACGGCGACGACGCGCTGCTCGGGGCCGGCCATGGCTGCGCGCGGCGCCTCGGCGGCGGAGCTGAGCCTGAGTCTGAGCGGCGCTGCGGCCGCGCGGGTGTGGTGACCGGTGAGATTTGAGGCGAGGGGAGTCGGAGGGTAGAGCGTTTGGACTTTGGACCGTGGGGTTTGACGAGGACGGGCGGGGCGGGGCGGGGCGGGAGCGTGCGTGTGCTGTGTTGGCGCTGGTGAACTTGGGCTGGAGACGATGGTAGGCTCTGACTCTACGGGGTTCCGTGCATCTGGATGCGGTGGGATCTGTGCGCGCGATCCGGCATCGAGCGACGTGCCGGGGTGGTGGCCTGGTGGGTTGGACTTGAGCCGGGGGTGTGGCACGGCGCGGCGGAGTTTTGCTTCCCACGCACGGTTGTATCTCTAGCTTTAGGAGTTTGGAGTTCCCGTGATAAGGACATGAGAAATTTTCTACCATCAAAAAAAGGACGTGAGATTTTTTTTTAAAGTACAGTACAATCGCAAATACTCGCATATGCATGCATTTTATTTTATTTTATTCTTGCAGGTAAGAGCATCTCCAGCCGCGCCCCCAGAAATGCCTTCCCAGGCGATTTTTCCGTGCCGGCACCAAAAAACGGCTCAGTCGCGCCCCCAGGAGCCCGATTTTCGCCGGCCTGGCCGAAATCAGCGTCGGCGGACCCAGCCCGAACCCGGCACGCTGGGGGGCGCCCTGGGGCGTCGGGCGAATCGTTTTTGACACGAAAGAGTCGCGGGCCCGCCGAGTCAGCGACATGGGCGCTTCGTCGCCCTCATCGCCTCAGTTCCCGCGGGAATCAATGCCAAGGCTGCCGCCGCCGGTCAGCCTTGTCATTGATTCCTCACGGGCGACGCGTCACGGGGCGGCGCGCCGATGCCTCCCCTCCGCGCACGCGTACACACAGGCACGGTGCACACACGGGCGCGGCTATATAAGCCAGTGGCCTCCCTCCGGCCACACTAAGCCCTAGCCGCCGAGCTCTACCTCTTGTGCGCCGCCGCCGAGCCCTCCCTTTCCCTCCTCCGTGCGCCGCCTCCGAGCCCTCCCTCTCCCTCCCTCCCCCCGTGCCCCGATGGCCAAGCGTTTCCCCGGCGACGAGGCGGCGGCCAACGGCGTCGGCCGCCGCTCGCTGCGCGAACATGAGTCGTGGCTCCTGTTTCAGGCCAACATCCCGGCGCCGCCGGACATGCGCACCGGGGCGACGAGGTGGAGGCTCAGCAATGGGGGAGTGCCCACTCCCCCGTTGCCCGACGTTGTGGCGCGCCCTGGCTACTTCGCCGACGAGGTTGAGATCGTGCGCGCCTCCCTCACCGACGAGCAGCGCGCCCTCCCCAACATGCCGCCGACAACCACGCGACGTGGGCGGTGTACTTCGAGCGCCGTCAGCAGCAGAGGCTGGCGTCCACCAACGGGGCACCGGTGGTGGGCGGCACGAAGAACAGCGAGGGGCGCCACCTGTGGTGGGGCGTCCCCGGCCGCACGCTCGAGGGCGTGCTGACGCACCTTGAGGGCGACAACAACCCACCGCTGGCATACCCTCCCCCGGCGAGGACGGCCGCCCCGGCCCACCGCCGACGCGTTGGGCAATGGATGCCCAGGAGGTTCGACTCCTCCTCATCGTCCTCCTCGCACTCCTCCTCAAGGGCTTCTTCCCACTCCTCCGGCTCTCCGGCGCTGCTCGGTGTCAAGGCCGAGCCCGCGGCGGAGACGCCGCTCGGCCGGCGCACTCGTAGCACCGGCATCGTCATCAACGAGGGCGGCCGGCGCGCCTCCTCGTCGGCTCCTTCGCGCTTCGTCAAGCCAAAGACGGAGCCGGGCCTCCCCGCCGTGAAGACGGAGCACGGCGACGTGAAGCTCGACGACGACGCGGCCCTGGAATGGGCGCACAAGGACTCCCTGAAGATGGCGAGGGAGCGCCAGTGCGCCGCCCTGCGGCGGTTCGAGCAGCGCCGCCGGGGCCGCAACAAAGGAGGAGGAGTCGTCATCGAGGACAGCGACGACGACGACGCGCCGCCGCCACCAGTCCGCGTTGGCGACGCCGGTCAGGGGTCCACCAGGGACGGCCACATCAAGGAGGAGAAGGCCGCCGACGACGACGGCGATGACGACGACTACTTGGCGTTCAGTGATTTCTTTTTTTAGTTATATTTTGCTATGTACCGCCGAACATGTCAATATATAACAGGGTTTGCCGAAATTTAGTCGTGTTTAACCGAACTTCGCCGAACGTTTTTTTTAAATTATGCGCATCTGGGGGCGGCCCTGGGGCCGGCGATTGGGGACCAACTCGCCCCCAGGCCCTTTTCTCCGCCGGCTCGCCCCCAGGCGGCGATTTTAGGCGCCCCCTGGGGGGCCAACGGCTGGAGATGCTCTAACATACATGCACATACACTTTTATGAACACGCACACACACCTTTCTGTTTATTCTGTTGAAAGGTTGGGATCCTGTTGAGCGACCTCCAACACGTCACGGCGATCCTGTTGCATGGACTCCAGCGTGTGATCCTGTTGCACGGTCCCAAATCCTGACACTTATCGAGGAGGGCGGGGTCCTGTTGCGCAACCTCCAGCGTGTCACGAGGATCCCACCCCCTCCTCAGCAATAAGGGTGACCTCCTCCTCCACTTGCTCCTCTTCTAGGATCCAATTGTTGGAAAACGTTGCATAGTTACGCACGCGCAAGATCTATCCATTGAGATGCATAGCTACGAGAGGGGGAGAGCATCTACATACCCTTGTAGATCGCTATGAGGGATCGTCTATCAACACGGTTGATGTAGTCGTACACCTTCACGGTCTGTTCCGATCAAGCACTGAACGTACGGCACCTCCGCGTTCAGCACATGTTTAGCTCGACGACGTCCTCGTCTTCTTGATCCAGCAAGAGGGGTGAAGTAGTAGATGAGTTCTGGCAGCACGTCGGTGTGGTGATTGTAGTCGTGAAACTATTTTCACACGGCTTCGCCAAGCACAACGGATTTAGAGCAAAGGATGAACTAGAGGGAGAGGGGGTGCCGGCACACGGCTTGGTGAATTGTGGTGTGTTCTAGGGGCTAGCCCTGCCTCTCTATTTATATGTTGAGCCTTGGAGTCATTACATGGAGGGGGGGCCTCCCCCAAAGTCGGTTTGGAACGCAAGGAAGAGTCCTTCTCGGATTCCACCACCAGACGCCGTGGTCCTTGGCGTTTAACCCAGACGCCATGGTCCTCGGCTTCTAGCCCAGGGCTAGACGACAGGGTCCCTGGCGCCTAGTCCCTGACCTCCGCAATACTTCCTTTTGCACCAACCTAAAGCCCCGTGGGCCTTACCCCTTGGCCCAACCAAAGTGTCCTCACACCAGAACATTTCTGGAAACATCTGAAACCCTTCTGGCGAATTTCGGAACCCTTCCAGATATCATCATATATATCAATCTTTACCTCTGGACCATTCCGGAGCTCCTCGTCATGTCTGTGATCTCATCCGGGACTCCGAACAACATTTGATCACCAACATACATAACTCATATAATACTATATCGTCAACGAATGTTAAACCTGTGGACACTACGGGTTCGAGAATGATGTAGACATGACCGAGACGCTTCTCCGGTCAATAACCAATAGCAGGACTCGGATGCTGGTACGTCTCCGTCGTATCTATAATTTTTGATTGTTCCATGCCAATATTATTCAACTTTCATATACTTTTGGCAACTTTTTATACCATTGTTGGGACTAACATATTGATCTAGTATCCAGTGCCAGTTCCTGTTTGTTGCATGTTTTATGTTTCGCAGAAACCCCATATCAAACGGAGTCCAAACGGGATAAAAACGGATGGAGATTATTTTTGGAATACTTATTATTTCTGGGAAGAAAAATCAACGTGAGACGGTGCCCGAGGGGGCCACGAGGCAGGGAGGCGCGCCCCTAACCCTCGTGGGCACCCCGTAAGGTGGTTGACACTCTTCTTTTGACGCAAGAAAGCTAATTTTTGGAGAAAAATCTGGGCGAAGGTTTCAATCCGATCGGGTTTACGGATCTCCGGATATATAAGAAACGGTGAAAGGGCGGAATCCCAGAACGCAGAAACAGAGAGAGACAGAGAGACAGATCCAATCTTGGAGGGGCTCTCGCCCCTCCCATGCCATGGAGACCAAGGACCATAGGGGAAACCCTTCTCCCATCTAGGGAGAAGGTCAAGGAAGGAGAAGAAGAAGGGGGCTCTCTCCCCCTCGCTTCCGGTGGCGCCGGAACGCCGTCGGGGCCATCATCATCACCGCGATCTACACCAACAACTTCACCGCCCTCATCACCAGCTCTTCACTGACCTAAAGCCCCATTGGCCTTACCCCTTGGCTCAACCAAAGTGTCCTCGCACCAGAACATTTCTGGAAATATCTGAAACCCTTCCGGTGAATTCCGGAACCCTTCCGGATATCATCATATATATCAATCTTTACCTCTGGACCATTCCGGAGCTCCTATCATGTTCGTGGTCTCATCTGGGACTCCGGACAACATATGATCACCAACATACATAACTCATATAATACTATATCATCAACGAACGTTAAACGTGTGGACCCTATGGGTTCGAGAATGATGTAGACATGACCGAGACGCTTCTCCGGTCAATAACCAATAGCGGGACCTGGATGCCCATATTGGTTCCTACATATTCTACGAACATCTTTATCGGTCAAACCTTTATGACAACATACGTAGTTTCCTTTGTCTGCCGGTATGTTACTTGCTCGAGATTCGATCACCGGTATCTACATACCTAGTTCAATCTCGTTACCAGCAAGTCTCTTTACTCGTTTCGTAATACATCATCTTGTAATAACTCCTTAGTCACTTTGCTTGAAAGCTTCTTGTGATGTTGTATTATCGAGAGGGCCCAGAGATACCTCTTCGTCATACGGAGTGACAAATCCCAATCTCGATCCATGCCAACTCAACAGACACCTTCGGAGATACATGTAGAGCACCTTTACGATCACCCAGTTATGAAGT